CACACACATACACACAGTGGGCACTTAATGGCCTCACCCACACACAGGGGGCACTTAAAGACCTCACCTGATACTCATCGTATCATGGAAACTGGCCATGGTCCGTGTCAAATGGGGGAGATTGCTTGTCTTTTTACATGTCTGTTGCAGTGTTCTTCTCCTCTGGCTCTGATAATTGGTGTCAGCCAGAAGGTCTCATTCTTTTAATACCCATTTATAATAGAAAAATGAAAAATGGAAGGATTATTATGATGATGGTGGAAATGAAAAATGGAATGTCTCCTCTTATTGTCTGCCTCTGAATTGGGCCTTTTGGCCCTTTCTGTCAGAATCTGCTTCACTCACTTAGCTTGTGGCATAGGCGTTTAGGAGGGGAGAAGTCACAGCCCCTTGGAGTTAGATGGGCCATCGAGGTACATCTGTCCCTGCCCAGGCCACCCCTCTCCAGTGACCTCCCTGACAGGGGCTCCTGCAGCTTTGGGGCCCTGGGGCCCAGTGGGCAGCACACTCCAGTCAGATGGTTCTGCTTGGGAGGGAGCAGGTTCTTACAGCGAGACAGTGTGTGCCTCCTTCCAACTTCTACCCATTGCTTGTAGCTCCATTTTTCAAGCACTGACCCAGCACCTCATACATTGTTGTTCATTCGTTGCAGTTGTGTCCGGCTCTGTGGCCCCATTTGGGGTTTTCTTGACAAAGATCCTGGAGTGAGTGATTTGCCATTTCCTTCTCCAGCTCATCTTACAGATGAGGAAACTGAGGCAAACAGGGTGAAGTGACTTGCCCAGGGTCACACAGTCTGAGGCCAGATTTGAACTCAGGTCTTCCTGACTCCAGACCCAGTGCTCTATCCTCTGTGCCATCTTGTTGCTTCAACCTTGTACATTAATACATAAGCACTGTTGTAGAAATGGCACCGAAGGGTACAAAGATGGGAAGAGGGGCTGAACTGGGCCAAGTCCCCCTGGCTGGCGACACACAAGGGCCTCAAGACAGGGAGGATCTGAATGACTTGAAAAAACTTTGAACTTGGTTTTACCAAAACTACCACTGTCCACAAAAGGTCAGCACCTCCCAGCCCTAGTAAGCCGAACATGAAGCTGTTCCCCCTTGCTCACTGGCCCTCGTCTTCCAGGAAGGCTGCCAAAGGGGATGTCTCTTTGGACACACATCCCCCATCCTCCCTCTTTGTACATTGTGTGGAGGCCGGGGAGCTCCCAGGCTGGCCTTGACCAGGCTGTCTCCTTACTGACGTCTTGTACGCTGTTTCCTCTGCCCAATCTTTTCTTGATAATTAAAAAAATTATTAATAGCTTTTATTTTTCCATCACCTTCTACCTGCACATATCCTGTATGGTCCTGTTTCTCTCCATGTTGTCTTCTTCATTAGAATCTAAGCTCCTTGAGGGCAGGGGCTGTTCTTGCCTTTCTTTCATATCCCCAATACTTAGCACAGCACCTGGCACCCATAAAGCATTGGATTGTCCAGAGCCAGGCAGAACCAGTTATCATCTTAGAGTCATCCGGCCCAATGGAAGAGGACATTGAATTCTAGAGCAGTGGTTTGTCTAATGTCATCTGGCCATGTTTCCTCCTTTTCTGCCCCCAAAGTGGGGGGAGGCAGGAGAGCGGTCATTCTCCATCGTGTTGGCAGCCCCGTTCCTCCTCCCTCTTTATAGCTTTCCTAATTCTATTTTTGCTTAGTAGAATCTTCAGAATCTTCAGATAAAAGGTATGCATTAGGTCAGAGGTGATAGAATTTTAGAGATGGGAGGGACCTCCAAAATCATTTTTGCAGATGAAGAAACTGAGAACTGATTGACAGTAAATACGAATAGTTTATCTCATCTGAAAATATTTCCTTGTATCTTTATTTCAGATCACAGCTTCCTGGGATTTGAATGGCAGAAGCGTTGGTGTGCTCTTAGCAAAACAGTTTTCTATTATTACGGAAGTGACAAAGGTACTCATGATTGTTGAATTGTGATGTGTTATGATCAAATGCAATTGTTCCATTTATTATGTGCTCAGTGAGCGTGAATTTATTTTTGGCTTTGCTTTGTTTTTTTACTTTTAAAGTACAATTTATCAATAAGCTAAAGGTCTCAGCACAAATTACAGTTCATGGACTGGGGCTTTTTCTTACCAGCCTTCTATACTATCAAGTTCTTGGCCCTTAGTAAAACCTGTACGTTTGCTGATTTGCATGGTTTCAAGTCCTGTCAGGAAATTTGGAACTGTCCTTCCCCTTGGGCAGGGATATGTACACAAACACACATTCATACGTATATTTTATCAGCAGTAGAGTGTAAAATTCTTGAAATTTTTGGGCCACCGAGTGAGGAAGGGGAGTGGTGATGGAGTTTATATTGTTTAGCAGAAAAGTGAATAGTGGAATTAATATTTTATTATGCTTTGTGGACATATCATCACTTTTCAAGCTTACTGGAACTGAAATATGTTATTTATAGATTGGTTTATAAAATGATCATGTTTAGTATATTATATCTAAAAATATATTTTAGAGTGATTACAAAATCATTCAGTGAATTTACTTTTAAATATTTGAAATGGATAGGGGAAGGAAAGTAGAGGAAGGGAATAAGCATTTATAGAGCACCTACTATGTGCTAGGCCCTTCTGATGAGCATTTTACAAATATTCTCTTGAATGATTCTCACAACAACCCCAGAGGGAGGTGGTATAATTATCCCCATTTTACAGATGAAGAAACTGAGGCAAACAGAGCTTAAATGACCGGCTCAGGATCACATTATCTGGGGCCAGATTTGAACTCTGGTCTCCTTCACTCCAGGCCCAGCATTCTTATCCACTGCCATTAAATATGGAATATAATCTGCTGAACTTCAAGAAATAATCGAATATTCTGCTTTTTGCTACTTTTGAGAACCAGATCAAAACTGGAGAATAGAAGCAGTCAGTTAATATTACAGTGAAAATAAAAATAAAATTTGTATTTTCCAATCCTCACAGTGCTGAGCCGAGATTAGAAAGTGCCCTCATTTTTCTGAAAAGGAAACACTGAAAAAGTAGAACGACACCCCCCCCCACCAACCCACTGAAAATATTTTTTGCTCCTGGAACCTTCCATTAACACTGGGTCAGATTTTATTTTCAAGCTTCTAAGTGTTTACCATGAAATTGTGAAGGTGTGTGTGCATCCTGTTTTTGAAAACGTGTTTTTGAGTCTTTGAAGTGTCTCTTTACGTAGTTCTTATCCTGAGGGAGAAAATCTGGTAATATTCAGAAACCACTGAGAAATACTGGCTGTGGCCTGGTGGTCGATTCTTCTGTGATACTTGTGTAAAGACCAGTCAATATTGAATCCATGGATCATTGCTAACCACGCTTGGTGACTAGAAACCAATGACAGAGATTCTATTTGAGACTGGTATTTAGTCCTTTCTCCCTCCATCCCAGAGCTCTCCCTTCTCCCACCATCTTGTTTTTTGGTTTGTTTTTGTTTGAGGGGCCTGTGGGTTGTTTAGTAGATGGATGGGTAAACCAGTGGCACCTGAGCAGCTATAAGGAAACCTCAGAGCCGTCTGCCCTTGAAGGTGACTAAGCCCAGAAACCTATGGAAGAAATTAGGCATGATTCTTCTTCCTGGTTTAATGGCAGAATATCTGAGTGGAAAACCAGAAAAATGATGTGAGTCGGTATGGTATAACTTAGTCCTGTTGGGGCAACTAGGTGGTGCAGTGGATAGAGTACCAGCCTAAAGTCAGGAGGACGTGAGTTCAAATCTGGCCTCAGACCAAACACTTGACACTTACTAGCTGTGTGACCCTGGGCAAGTCACTTAACCCCAATTGCCTAAAAAAAACCCCAGAAAATCCCCCCAAAACAGTCCTATAGCCAAGACCCTAAGGAAGGGGTCACCGTATAGCCTAGGGTGTTAATATTACAGAAGGTGTTTCTATTAAGTCCGTTGATTTTGAAGGACACTTAGCAGTTTTCTGTGTGCCACAAAGAAATCCTAGTGAAATTCTGGAGGTATCCATTGCATTTCTGGCCCTGTGCTTCTCTGAGAAGAACACCAGTCAGCTATTATGAATTTCCTGGTCAGTTCGTGTTTTTGCCTTTTCCGTTGGGCTCCATTTTGTCCTCTCTTTCCTGAGATTTGTTTTCATGGCGATAATGGAGGGTTGGGAGCGTCTTTCTTTGTGCTAAATCCCTCTTTCACAGCTGTCACTATGTAACATCTTCTGTTTCCAGGGAGATTTTAGATAGATTCTAATGGTTCTTTTAGCTCATAGGTTGTTTCCTTAGGTATTTTTAGCTAATTCCTCTCTTTTCAAGGACTTTTATCAGTCATTAGACAGTTTTTCAGTTGCCTTTCTGCATGATCTTAATTTCATTCCCATCTTTTTGATTTTCCTTAGAAAATTTTCTCTACATGATGCTCATTTTCTTTCATGCAGTCAAACGTAACTAATATAGTCCTAACTCTTTAGCTCTGCTTTTCTGGAAGTAAATTTGCCACTTTTCTTCATACAGGGAGTTTTGGACAAACGTTCTTGCCTTGTATACATTTGAGATTGGCCTCACTTTTGAAAGGAGCTGTTCAGATGTAGGAAAACCCTCATCCCCAACAAAGTAAGATTTAGAGACGTGCCTTCTCGTGACCTGTAAGGAGCTGATAGCACATGCTGGGTTAAACAGCACTTTGTTACTGTCTGACAGATACATAGTTCGCATTTTCAACCTCATTGTGTGGGCCCTGACACACATTGACCCATCAGGTTGTAATGGCTGAGACAGAGGAGTTCCACTCTCCAGGGTAAATAATGCACTTACCTCCATCCCAATAAATATTGCCCGTGTTTATTATTCATAGCCATTTGGGGCTCTTAAGTAAAAAACACGCACGGCACGTATTTTATGTGCTTACAAAACCCACATCCATCTCTTCATCTCCTTCTAACTTTATCTCCGTGACTTCCTTTTTCCTTGGCGTTCCCAAGATCCAATTGTTTCAACTGCAGCGAGGGCAGAATATTGGCAGCTGAGTCGCCTGTTTTTCCTCCCGTGGATGTGGATATGAATGACTTGGTTCGTTTAGGATCCAATTCATAATCGAAGCTTTCAAAACCCCTCTATGAACGCTAGTCCACCAGAATCATCTTTTCTTCTTTTCTGCACCTGAGAAAAGTTTCACTTGCCTGAAATGCCTTCAGTGGGGTTTATAAGCACCTTCCTTTCATTTTCCATCTCCATGGAAGCATGCTTTATGTACTGCCAGCAAAGGCAGAGGAGGAATTTGTTCAGTGGCTAAGTTATTAAATTAATTCAGTAAATTCTTGTCACAACTTGGAGATGTGGAAGTGGAGTTTTAGAGGGCGAGGAGACCCCGGAGATCCCTTAGTCAACCCTGTCATGCTGCAGTTGAAGGAAGGCCCTGCTCTGAGCACGGGCCTGGGGCCGTCCTGGGGCCATCCTGGGCATCAGGGGAGAGTCAGAGATGAGGAGGAAGTGAACTTAGGCGTCAGAGCCTTTGGGCTGGTCAGTGCGGGATGTGTAGGATTTGGGACGTGAAAAATGTCCTCAAGAATTAAAAAAAGCTGGACTGCATGAATGATGGGAGGGCTCTGTGGTTCTTCTTCATCACGGAACATCAGAGTCGAAGGGCACCAGGCAAGCGATCACTCCCCCTTTGCTGGAAGACTCCCGTGCTGTGCGTCTCCTCAGTTTGTTGGAGGCCATCCTTGGGGTACACTGGCATTTCAGGCATACCTGTAGAGTAGGCAGCCTGTTCTCCTCACAGGACCAGCACATCTCCTCTTCCAGTTACAGATAATGCACGTTTATGCTCTCTGTCTCCTTCAGGACACTCCTACATGCTTTCTGGGCAGTCATATGCACCAACCATGTGATGGGCCCTGGTTCTCCTGGTCACCCCAACTTTGATTCTTCACAACTATATTGTTCATTAAATTCAAAATGTAGAAGTTGCCCTAGGGGATGGGAGTCAGTCTGTACTTGTGACATCATCATGGGGAACTCCCAGTGTTGAAATCCCTTCCACCAACTCCCTGTAACTTTTACACTCTAAGATGGACGCTGGGGCACTGAGCAGTTAAGGAAAGACCTGTTCTCGACCCTTCAGCAGAGCTTGGGTTCAGGGCTTCCTGATTCTAAGACTGACCCTCTGTCCGCTCCGTCAGGCCATGAAGGTACTTGCATCTGGCCTCTCAGCCTGCCTGTCTTTCTCCCTTGTGCTACAGTATCTTGTACACAGTAGGTGCTTAATAAACGTTGTTGACCCAGTACCCTGTTGATTCTTTCCAACTGGGTCTTTGCAGCTGTATCTTAAATGATGCTAAAGAGATATAAATAAAGGCAGAAGGAAGCTGCGAGCCAGCCCTCTGGCTGGGCCCACGGCCATGGGATTTTTGCTCTTCTTTTCCTCATCTTTCTGAAAACATACTTTAAAAATATTTTTGGCTGCTGAAATTTTTTTCACAGGAGCCCATTTACAGTCTTATGATGGACACCAGTGGAAAATTGGGGTTTCCATTTTGCTTTAGAGACTCTTCAAGATTTTGGAACACAGATTGTCATTGAAATGGTAGCCTCAACCCCTATGTTGAGGCAGGAGGAGAAGAGAGAGATCTCTTTTCTTCAGTATTTAGCTTCAAATTGCTCACATGTAATTTGATATAGAAATCATTACATAGTTTAGCATAAATTCCATTGAGGTTTTGAAAATAAAAAAGTATAATTTCATAAATTATTTGAAAAATTAAGTCACCTTATTTGTGCCTTTGCCATTGTCCAGTGTTTTTTGAGGTCCCCTCCACATGCCTGATGGAAGAAGCCACTCCTCTCTCTGTTCCAGGGTGAAAGCACCAGCTTCTCCTCCCACCCTGGAGGTGGCTCTGAAAAGGATATGGAAATGAAGAGCTAGCCTATGTAAAAGTGGTGCCTTGTGACCTTTCT